GTGCCCACTGTGAGATAGGGTGTTCTGCAAGACCATTTGAGGTTTCGTCATGGTGTATATATCTATATTCACTCTATTTTTTTTATCCTGACTGTACCTGTTGCATGGACTATCAGAGAGGTGTTTCTGCCGACTTCTCTGGTTTGTGTTCTCTGGCTTTTAAAAATAGGGTTTAGTGGTCACCCAATGCACTGTCTCCAATAAAAGACTTTTCTGGACTAAAGGACCAATGAGGATCTGAGCACCTTCTTCAGGTCTCTCCAACACAAATTCCCCCTCCTTCTTTGAGTGGAGTAAGGGAGACCCTTGCTACTTATCGGTTCCTAGCTTCTGAGTTGGTGGATTATGGAGAATTTTCACTGATTGGTACCTAACTGCTGGGGCTAAAACAAAGAATGCTAATATGGTGAGAAGTAGCGCAAGGGTAATACGATTTGTGTAGTGTGGGTCACCCCACATATAACTCGGATACATCACTCATGCTACATGTACCCTCCTCCTGCAGCCTGAGCCTGTTCAATACAATTGAGGTGTGCACACAATAAATGACTATGCCCTCCTCCTGCAACCAGGGCATGTTCAGTAAAGTTAGGGTATGCATGCACTACATATGGATTGATGCTGCATAATACAGTTGAGAAGAGGTGAGCACTCACTATACAAAAACCAGTAAATATTTTGTCTCATGTGTCCTTGTCCTGCAGCCACTGTCTGTTCAGTAGAGTCCAGTTTACCACACTCAATACCAGTAGTCCTTACTACATAACAGATGTGCCCTCCTTCCACAGCTAGTTTAAGTCCTGTAGAGTCTGACAGTAGAGTTGAGGTGAGCACTTCATACACACATGTGATACATCTTTCACATGCACTTTTCCTGCAGCTCACGTTGGGCCCAAAGAGACTGACAGTCAAGTTGAGGTATATAAGAATCCATACTATATGTAATAAAGTGCCCTCCTATAACTGGAGTCATTCCTGTAGAGTTTGACAGTAGAGTTGAAGTGGGCATGGATACATATTGCAAGTGCCCTTCTCCCACAGCTAGTTTTGATCTGTGGAGTTTGATGGTAGAGTTGAGGTGAGCACCCAAGGTACAGTTTAGTGAGCCCTAACCACACTACACATAGTGGCTGTCTGATGACTTGTGAGCAAATACTTGGATGTCCATGTCCCATTTTTGTCCATCCCTGCAATACAACTTTGGCTTGTTTGCTTCTTCCCTTTCCTATATGATCGAAGAGTGTACCATGAGTGGATGAGATGAGATGCAGTCTCCCATTGGGTGTCACGTCCAAAGGGCATCTCTAGGATACTTTCTGAAGGGTGCACATCTACATTAATTTTGCTCTGGTCCCTACACCATATCAAAATAAGAGTTCTAGATAATCTGTGTCAAGAGGGTGAGCTATCGTCTAAGAAGTTAGCATTTTCTTTATCTGAAAATGTGTTTTCGATAGGTACTCACCTCTTGACATTCCCACCCATCTCTCCATTTCTTGTGCACATTTTCTTACTTGCCTTGTCAAAGAATGAAGATTTATGAGTGCAATTGCATAGGGCGAGTTAGTGCACATGGAAGTGTAATGCCCTCCTATTGGTGGAGAGTTTTAGTCACATGATTACGTTATTATGCAGTAGTGCAACTCGTAAAATCAGGTGGGAGTTGCCTCAAGACTAATGGCATGCAAATTTCTTTGGTAGATGCTAACCTGCGTGAAATAGTGAGTATCTATTGAAAATACTACTTCAGGTAAGGAAAATGCTAGTGTTACTTCTCATTAAATTTGCTACTTGGCAGTGTCTTTGGTTTCCCATATTTGATACCTATTAGATGGCATCTTACAAGTCTATGTGGATGAATCAAAATACATTTCTACACTTCCATTTACATAATATTGCTGTCTTTTTAGCTTCAGGATTGTGTTTGCTGCCTGTGGTTGTTCTCCATGGCAGGTGGAATTCATAGCAGGTGAGTTATTCTCTATTAAATTCTTATTTACTGCTTGGGCCCACATCTGTATTAAGTATGGTGACCAGATTTCTATTCAATCCAATGCACCCCTGTTAACAATTACACAGGTGTCTGTAGTTGAGTATACATCCTTCTGGTTGTTTTTAAGTATAGTCTATATAAGGCTCCACTCATTCTCATCTGAATCCTGTTCTTCAGATATTTCTGAATTCTTTCCAACTCTGCTTGTCCATGTCTATGTTCTGGTTATTACTTTCCTGATTTGTAATCTATATTTTTTGTATGATATGAACTCTCTCATCTCCCTCCTCTTCTTCAGTATGGCTTTTATTATTTCAGAGGTCTACCCTATTTGAATTTTACAATTTCATCATTAAAATTAATTTTCAGATGGGTACTTATTCCTGAAATACATTCCCATCCACCACCCCACAATTGGATGATATGCGAAGTTTTCCATCATGACTCTAAATTAGAAATCTGAATTATGGCAAGAAAGCAGTGTTTAGTTAAGATCTCCTTATACATTTGATATAATTCACATGGAATGTGAAAAATGGGAGAATTACAAGTAGGTTAACATGTGTTTTGCATTGCATTAAGGACATTAAGAACTTTGAGTCACATGTTTGTTGCCAGTACAAGAGTGACTCATCAAAGTAAGTGTCTGTTTGAAATTCATTTTAATTTCAAAAATGTAAACTTCACCTGTTTTACACAAGCTGTAATTCATCAGTGAACTCAACTGTGTATAAAAAGTATAGGTGATAGTGCATTTTTTCTTCAATTTTGAAATTTATTTCTAAGATGTATTCATAAACCATTATTAAGTTTGTTAGATAATTTTAGTTATAAAGTTTAATCATTTCAAGTACAAGTCCTATGTACAAAATAAAACTTACATTAAATTGCATGTCTAGCTCAAAGTACTAAAAACACACAATATCTTATGTAATTTGCACAACTAGATTCTCTCCAGTTTCATTGCAGTTATTTCATCAAAGCACACATATAAATGTAGGTTATTTATTTGATTGTGATATTACATGCTGATCATTTTTTAAATAAAATGAAAGCTACATAAACATCTTACTCTAAAAGATATAACTATTTCTTACACAAAGAAGAGATATGATGGAACAGTGAATGGTAGACATAAACAACTAGTGCTGATTACAAGCGCACTTGAACTTTCAGAATATGAATATGGTGCTCTGCTGATGTACATGAATATACCTGTATTAAATTTTGTTGTTAATTTGTTTTTCACAGGCTTAATTTATCATTAAAAGTAGACTTTATCAATTTATATGAAGTGCAGAAATAGGAAGAAACTAAAGGCAGCATATACAAGTATATAGGTATATTAGTATCTTAAAGGCAGTTTTCCTAATTGTTAAAATAAACACTTGACATTGCAGCCTTCATTTATTTGAATTTCTTTTTTAATGGAGTAACTTATCATAGACTCACATTTTCAGTATATATATATCATTTATTTTGCTGACACCCAAAAAATAAAAAATAGTTGCACATACACTGAGGTTTTAACCAATTTTATGAAGGAGAATTGGTTTTATAATAACGTGTCCAGGGCATAGCATTAATTTTCTACATATATGGTTTGATACAACATTTATTCATTTTAGTAAAAAAAAAGTAATAGTCAGACCACAAAAATGGTGATAGGACTTCTGTGAATGCATTAATGAGGCTTTGTTTTCTCTAGATATCTGTTTTATTTGCTATAATTTATTACAGAACATCTTAAAAATTAGAAATTTTGATTTTAGGTTTATTTCAGCACACACACAGAATGAAAAAAATGGAATTTGTGAATTTCCTGGATATTTAATGAGCATAATATAGCACTCATGATTCCCTAGAAATAAATTCCCTAGAGTTTTGAACAAAAGAGAGCCAGTTTGGGACTTGTTAGTTTAATATAAGTGTGTTTTACTAGTTGTAGCTAATGTCTGTTTCTCAATCTTCGTTACCATTGTGAGATGTAATTGTCTGTATATAAGCTTTGAGAAGTTATAGGTTAGAGCTAATAACAGCTAATGAAAGCTTTTTTTCTGTTCTCTTCAACTGTGTAAGCCATTGAGGCTTCCAGTTCAGAAGAGGCTTGCATAGAGATTGTAACAAAGTAATAAAAGCTTAGTTTGGTGATGTTTGTGAACAACTTCTATCACAGTTACAATCTTGGAATAATATGAAGTAGGCAAAGTTTGGTAACTTTTCACTTGACCATATTAAGCTTCATTTTGCTGAAAAGACTGCTGTTTGTTAAAATGTATATACAGTAGGCATTTTTGGCTTAAGAACTGTTTGAATGGCAAATAGTCATAGAAATGTAAAAAAATTTATATGAATTAATATAAAATGGATTAAAACATATTATATATATTAATTGAAACCCTTGATTAGAAAACATTCAGCTTGCTAATAGTATTGATACTTTTTATTAAGTTAAAATATTTATTTTACTGGATGTGGTGTTTTTTGAATCAAAACAAAGAAAAAATGTTCAGTTTTATACAACAAAACTATTGAAAAGCTTTATAAGAATCTAGAAGGACGTAAAAATCATTTGTTGAAATCTATAACAAAGATAAGCATTTTTAATGACTTCTTAAAAAATGTATCACAATGAATGTCACATATAAAAATAAGATATTTTGCAGAAGCTTCATAATCTCTACAAAGTTCTTCTCAATTTTCAAGCTATTTTATCAAGCAGTCTTGTTTTGCAATCCAATAAAATAACCCATAAAATAGGTACAGAAAATTGATGCACCTAGACATTTAAGAGATTAAAATGGGAAAAATTTTATCTTGGAAGTGGGGTTGGATATCAGTATAAAATAAAATGTGCCTTGTTTGATTCATGTGCATGTTGCCAATTAAAGCTGAGCCTTTAGAAGATAATTGATTTATACTGTTGTGGTTTTATGTACACTGTTTTTGAAAATATACAAGTATTTTGCTGTTTTCCTGCAGTGATTAGAATGTGTTTATTTTCCAGGAAAGGCTCTTCCAGTACACTGTGTGGTGGAGCAGGCTCCTGCTCAGTACAGTAGCACATCCGGTGATTCAACCCAGCTGTCAGTAGAACTAGACAGTTATGCCATTATCCCCATCAGTACATTATTTACTGAAGTTGTTCAGATGGCTCTTGTTAAGCTGGGCTACTCAGCATCAGAAGCTGTTGGAGCTAAAGGTAATAGTTTTGTCCCACTCGTTATTTATATTCTTGCAACAAATGTTTTTAATACTTGCAGTTTGAAACAAGTGTAATTTTGCTAGTTCTTCAATGTTAAAGGTGTAGTTTTGATTTATTTTTGTCACTGAAACCTTTCTACTGTTTTCAGAAAGTCAAGTTAACATCTAAATCGCATAGTGATTGGTTGATTTTTTTTAACCACTACTTAACTACAAACAGAATAACCAGCATGCATGTAGTGCATAAAATTATGAAGAAATGTTGCTGTAACAATAATCATCTGACTTATTGAATTTATTATTAAGAATCCATTTCTGAAAACAAAAAAAAAACAAAAAAAAAAGTGGTAAGTCAGTCTCAAAGCTTGTTCTGTTGTCCTCTGGTTTATCCAGTGGTTGGAGTAGTTATATGGTTATTGTAACTGCAAAAAATAACAACTCTGGTCTCATACTGTTGGATCATTTTATTTGTAAAATTCATTGATTGTGAAATAGACTGTATATGTGGGCATGTCATTGAGCATGGTGAAATAGTTATTCTCTAATATTGAATCTACATAATCAGTAATGGATACATGAGTTTAATTACATTTTTGATACATAATACAGTAATTATCATTTATGAACACACATCATTCATTATAACTATTTACACATTTCGGTGTAAAATGGGTTGATGTATGTAGAACTATTAAATTAATTTTAGCTTCAGTACATATGTTGTTAATTTCTATTATTTTTTAAAACTTTTGTGTAATTATCTTTTCTATAATGTTGCACTATAACACATGAAGTAAAACATTTAAGATGCTTACAAACTATTCATTCCATTAATTATTAATAGGAGATTGAATCAGCACTATAAAACAATAATGAATTAAATATGTCATTACTGTTATTGGTCTAGGTTGTCAACTTCTTGTCAGAGCAGATAATGTCTGTGGCAGTAGCACCCAAATGCATTTGGGACATCCCATCTATCAGACAAAATCCAAATGTCGACGTTAATCTAGTCAGCCATCATGGAAAATCAAATAATTCAAATAAGGGTACAAAGCTGAGTGCTTACACCCACAAAGTCTTAGCTTCTACTGCCTTTCACTGTCTATAGCCAGTTGTAGGAAGGCAGTTACCTTTAAATTTCTTGTAGTAGAAATGAAACCACCCTGATATTTCTACTAATTAAACTCCCAACCTCCACCCTTACAAAAAGATATTAAATAGAACTATAAACCCTACCTTAAAAGTTGTTATATAGTTTTTACTCCCAACCTCCTCCCTTTCTCTTGAAGATTTATTCAAGTATAACATGGGAATGCTGATACTAGACCAGCTACTCGAAGTTAGTCTTTTCGTCCCAGTATACTGAATAAAATGTATTTTTAAAAATTACTCCTAGCTACTTATAAATCAAAGTAATTAATGCCCTCTTTATTTTATTTATTTTTATAATGCATTTTCCTTAATCGATAATTTAGTTTCTAAAATATTTTTGTATTTTTTTAAAAATAGAGTAAGGTATTTCTTTAATTGCCCATCTTTATAGCTGTTATCTTTCAGTTTATTTTTTAATAACAGAACATTATCCATAAAGTTATTTCAGACTATTAAAAACTTTTTTAGTTGAGATATAATAATAATACCTTTTAGCATGATACACTGAGTAATACTGTTTGGTGTGTGTAGACCAAGGATGGGAAAATTAAATTATCTTCTTTTATCAAAAATAGTCAACTGCACTGTGCCTTCTGTAAAAGTAATGTCAAAATCTAAATAATTATCATGGACCTCATTATTATTATTACCTTTTTCTGTTGCAAGTTCTGTTGGATATATTAAGTTTTGTGTAAAATTCATATTGTTTATAGATATTAAATCATCTATGTAACAGAAAGTGTAAATGTATAAGTTAGGATTTAAAGTCTGCTTCATAAATGAGTTTTCATAAAAGAACATATACAGGTTTGCCATATTTGAAGAGAAGTTAGTTTCCATTGGAATACCCACTGTTTGCTTATATACTTATTTGTTTAAAATAATGTAATTGTTAGAAGTACAGAAATGGAGTATATTTTTACACTGAATTCTAGTACATTTAAATTTGGATATAGTTATTTCATTATTTATAAAATTATCAAACAAATCATTGGAAACTCTGACCAAATCTTTTAGGTCTATTTTAGTATACAATGTAGTAAAGTTGTATATAAAAGTAGAACAGGCAGTTTTTGAAGAATTTAAATTATTTAAACATTCTAAAACTGAAATAATATTTCTAATAATACAAAAATAATTATTCTTGTAATTTAAAGACTGTGTTTTTATATTTCCAAACAAGACATCTAGAATATTTTTAAGTATTATGAAGACAGACTTAATAACTGCATTTAAAGAATTAGAAATAAATCTGAACTTCATGGGTTTTTTATTCAGTTTTGGAATTGCTTATAAAAATGGTAAATTCTTACAAGAATAATTTGTATGGATATTCATTTTTTAATGGCCTTCTATAAATGAGTAAGTTAGTAAAAGTACTTGTATTATTAATTTCATAAAGTAAAATTTGTTCTTATAATTTTTTTCCACACAAAACCAAAATTACAACCAGCTTTATCAATCATGGTAATAACAAATTGTTTTTGTTTTGTTTTTAAAGACATTTAAAGAAATATCTAACTTATATTTAGATAAGTATATGGTTTTTAATCGATTCTTTATAGAATTAATAAAATATAATTTCCATTCAAAATGTGGCAGGATTGTTTGCTTATTTTAAGAATATAATTATCAATATTTTTCTCTAGGTCTTTTCAGATTTCACATTTTTTGTGCATTTTATAATTCTTTGTTTAGTATCTTTCTTTAATATTGATCGTTATTCTTTATCTTTGACAACTTCTGAGTTTCCTGTAACTATATAATTATGAGAGGTATATTTACAAACACTATTATTACAGTTACAAGGTAAATTGTCAACTTCTATATGATTAAGTTCTTCAATGAATTTTTATAGTTAAAGAGAATAGGTCCTATAGGTTTATTATGTTTAGGTTAAAACAGTTTTATAGGAAAAATGTCTTCTTGAATACTTTTATGGATCAGGTAAGGTAAATATAAATCATCATAAACTTTATGTTACAAATTAATTACTATATAAAATTTTTACTTTACTGAAAGGACTATAGGTATACAATTCCATTTTAACCTAAATTTAATTAGATCTATAATTAAGTCTTTAACATGGATATTTTTTAAATCAGAGTTCAGCAGATACTTTGATAAATATTTGAGTTTTGCATTTGTTAATTCAAATACTTGTTTAACCAGTTTAACAGTTCTGTCAAGAAGAGAATCCAAATTTTTACAAAAACTTTCGAAATCAATCCATTTTTTTCTATTTTTACCTTTACCCTTATTTTCATTTTGTTTATTGCTGCAAATGTTTATTTAAAATACATTTCTGATACAGGAATCTTCACTTATAACTTCAGCAGTTTCATTTTGAAAGTCCTGATTTAATCCATAAGGGTAAATCAGTATTGTAGATTTTTTCACATATAGTAATTTTTATATTATTAAATGAATGTTTATTAAAATGATTTATTTCAATCAACTGAGAAAACCCTTATTACTTTGCAATCTATGTAGGTTAATCCTTAGATGTAAAGGATTAGTTGTTTGTCGTACATATTTAAGGCTGCATATATCATAGGTTAATAAATAAATTACATTATCTACTGTACATAGTGGTACATTTTGTCATACATGTTGAAAATCCATGCCTGGTGTACAGTTTAAAAAGGGGAACCTTTGCAAATAAATTTTTAATATGTAGCATATTTGAATTAACTGGTTAATAGCTAACTAGGATAACAGAATATTCCTAAAATAGGAAACAAGTGAAAAGGGTGATAAAATCAACACCTCAACATAATTTTCCATTAAGTAAACAGATAAATAGCTTACAAACTATTGATTACAATAATTGTTTATAGGCAATTGAATCAGCACTATAACCCTTTAACCCCAGGTATCCTTTACTATGCATGACAGAAAGTTTTAGTGTCTTACATTCAAAATCTTATTAAACTATTTTTTGTTTGTTACACTAGTTAGTATACCATAATTTCATACCTAATAATCCATATTTTAATAGTATATAAGTTTTAAGTTCCTAATTCTACAAGGCAATATTATAAAACATCCTGAATTTCCCCTTGTGTGACACTCGTGACATTTTCTCTAGGCATCTTATCTTCTTTATTTTATCCACCACCCCTTGAAAAGTATAAAATTAAACATAAATTACTCTGTCATCACTGCTTAAACAAGCTATAATTATTATAGCCAGAAAAATTTTGTGGGATAGGGAAAATTGCCTGCTTTTTGCATGTTATTAGTCTACGTTCTTTGGTGAATTATTCAATTAAGTAAAACTTTTTTAATGCAGTATTACAATTAGTATAAAATATGTAGGCTCACATTTTATCGACAATGAACAACAAGAAAAAAGAAGATTGCATAATTTATTTATTGTTTTTAATGTTTATTCTTTATCTTTTATTATAAAAGTAACTAAAGTGTAAAAAGAGGATCTTTTCATGTTAGTTAAGATTAGATTAGGTAAAATAAATAATAATTATATTATAGTAAAAATGTTTCAAGAGGCACGAATGCAAGCAGCATGTAACTAATGTATTTTGACAGCGTAACGTGAGCTGCACATGCTCCAAATGATTTACAACTTATGGTACAGATAATAGTTAGACATGGTTCAAAGAGCAATCAAAGTGCAATAAAACAATAAAAGTTAATTATAAATAGATGTATTCTGTTACAAGCTTAAAGCTACTTAGGATAAACTGATGTAGTTTCATTTTTACAATTTGAAGTCATTCTAGAAAGAAAGAAAGGGTAATTTAGTTTGAATTTTGTCTGATAGATGGGGATATCCCCAATGCATTTGGGTGCTATTGCCACAGACATTATCCACTATGA